ACCAGCACCATTCATCAGGAAATTGATTTCCATGGGTGACAGGCGTGGAGGCTCCATGGGCTGCGGGTGAGGCACGCTGTGGGTCTCTATCCTCTTTCTTCTCAACTGGGCTGGGGCTCTCAACTCCAACCTGCCTGGAAGCGAATATGCACCTGTTCTCAGGGCAGGACGACAGAGGTGCCTGAGTGCAGTGTTTCCCAGGAGCTGTACCTGGCTCCAAATTAGATGAGAGCTAAGGAAAGAGTTGAGCACATGTGGGGTGGGGGGCAGAGATTTTTACAGAGAATAACTGACGACGCATCACCATGGACAGGAGCCTTAAGGGCAAAACACAGTGCTTGTCAGTTCACGTTTGTCTGGTCTCAGAAAAGAGGCATTTTCAGGCTCTGCATCATGATAGCTATAACAAGCTGAGTTGAGAGACTTCAGTACATGCACGGCTATGAGTATGGACACTGATGAGAAAGCTTATGTGTGCCTACTCGCATTCATTTCATACAAGTAGACACTTAGCTCATTCAAAAATACAGCTGGCATGATAAGCCTTTGAGAGTACGAAATACATATGAGGGTGTTCAGTTTCCAGTCAGGGTTATGCCATTTTTAATGGCCATATACTTACCCTGTCTGGTGCATTTATTCATTTCTGAGCACAACTAGATTCAATGATTTTCGTCATTTTTTTTCACCTCTGTTGACATTGTCTGACAAGACTGGTCAGGCTCAGGCTGCTCAGGAGAAATAAACTTTGGTGCCAGTTTTTGAGCCATCAGCAGTGTTCCCTCTCATCTTTATTCTATTATTCTATTGCAACGGAACTTTCAGCTCAGGAGCCACAATGGAAAGAAAACAACTCAAGCGCTTTTTCTTTTTTTTCCCTCTCCTTTTTTCCATCTTGTGATCTTAACCCAGCTGGTGAGGGTGAAAATTCCCATGTGAGGCATGTGGGTGGAGCCCAATTGTGTAAGCTCCATCCTTGCAAACTGTTTGGCAAGGATCCGTTCGCTCACTGTGTTTTCCATGGCCGGATACAGGAGGAAGTCACATTCAGTGAATAAACAGCTGCCACCTGTAGCTCTGTGTGACATCAGAGGAACCCCAGGGCTGGGGAGTCACGCTGTGCCCTTGATCTCCAGAAAAGCTTGAGATAGGAGGGGTGTGCACTCATCCTCACATTCTTCTTGCCTTTGGAAGGTTTTCCAGGACACGAAGCAGATGGGCTTAGGAGTCTAAACTGGAAGAGGCCCTGGAGCACTGCTTTAGTTGTGAGCAGGTTACTATCAGGAACTTTCAAGTCCTACTTGATGCGGCTGTCCTGAAGGCAGACTTTGCTTGGTTTCTCACTGCGGTCAGAAATTTTGCTGCCAAGGACTACTCTGTTTACAAGTCTTAAGTACCTCAAAAATCCTACAGGGAATAGCAAGAGAATGCAAAGAGGAAGACCTTACTAACCTTGTCACTGACATTTGTAGGACATCCACCACATTTCTCCTCTCCTCTCTGCAGTAGAGGTTAAATCAATCTCCATTCCTATGCACCTTCCTGTTCATATATAAAGGAAGAAAAAAAAAAAAAAAAAAAAAAGAGCATATCACTAATGCAGCTAATTCTCAGTATCTTGAAGCAATTGACACAAGTACATGAATTAACTCATCACTTTATATCACTCGAGGCAAATGCGCTATTTGGAGTACCTCTTGGTAAGACTGAGCAATTTAAGATCCATTAGTATTTGGAATATTCTGCTTCATTAAAACCACAGTCATCCCTAAATGTAAATGAGTGGAGAGAAAGAGCTATCAACCTCTTGGTTGTAGTAGACGAACTTAAACTCTCTATATTAACTCTCTATATTGCAAAGTACCGTAAAAAGGTTTTAATATAAATACAAAAGAGGCCTTAGGTTTCCCCAAAAGGGGATTTCCTATCCTGGCTTCAAGTTTCTCATATCCTTATTAAGTTTGAACTACGCGTAGATTGAATGGCGGAAAGCAATTCTGGTAGACAACACTGAAGTTTTTATTATCACGTTGGGATAGCTTTGCAAGACACTGAGTCTGTTGTATTCTGCTACTTACATATCCATATCCTTTCTCCTTGATAATAGCGGCAGTGTCTGATTTTGTGGGAGAGCTGGAATTATTATTTTTAATAAAAATAATACATACTCTGTTTTCATTCAAAATTTCCAAATGATTTTTGATTCCAGGGCCCCTTACCTGGAGCTTGACCTGAAGAACTTTTAAGACCAAGCCAGATTTTCTTTCATTTATGATAATTCTATCCCTATAAGGCATTATAAATCAAAGATAAACCCAGGACTTTCAGATTTCAATCAGACTAGTGGTACATCTGCAGCTCACTAAACAAAATCTATTATTACAAGGAGTTGTTCAACACTTATGGCAAAAGAACAAGGCAAGAATCCTGAGATACTTCTAGAAAAATGTTCTTTTTGTCCTTAGCTCAGTTACATTCATGCCTCAAGAAGTTCCTCAACTTTACAAAGCTATTTTTGTCTAAGCAGTAAAGGTAGGGATGTTACAGAAGTCACAGAGATTTCTGGAAAAAATGAAGTCCTTTCAGAGTAGCACCTAATTTAGTCTTAAGTCTTTTCCAAAAGTTGAAACACACTTTCAGGGCACCAGACCTTACAAATCAAACAAGACTGGAATGCCTGCAGGTAATGGCTGCAAACTGAAGGAGAGCCAGGTGCTGTTTCACGGTGGAAGAATGAACATTTGATCCCTGCTCACACAGTGCAGCCTGCTTTCCCTCTTCACCAAAGGGGCCAGGCCAACTTTCCCCAAGGATGCTGATCTAAGGCGAAAATGCCCCCATCAGAGCAATGGCTACAGATGCATGTCCCTGCTGACACTACAGCTGGAAGGGACGTGCTGGGTGACTGCAGCCATGCAGTGTTCTGCCATTGGAAGAGAACCAGCTTCCTGACACAATTTGGGCACCTGTTTTAAGGACAGCTTGTATCCAGCACACAGTGCTGAACTCACTATTGCATTGGATGGTAGGCTGGTAGGAAGTTACATCAAAATCAAGAAGTATCCTGAGCATGCATCTTCTCAGCACAAAATGCATGTCAAGTCTACTGCATGGCTCCTGTATGTCTTAGTCCTGAGTTACATTAACTCTGAGAAATTCAAAAATAGTTTCCATGAGCAAACAAAGGCATTGGATTCCTGTGCATCAGGATTAGTGTTTTGCAGCTGCAGGGAAGATACTTTATAATTAAGTCTGCACCCTCCAGCAGATCTCAGTTGGAAGTACCAGCAGTCTTTGGCAAAAACTGGTTTGAAATCAGCCCAGCTTCCGGCTGAATAGCTCTGCTGGTGAGGAAGAAAAGCCCGTGTGTTTCTATGGCTCCCACACAGCAAAAGCTTGCTCAGAATATCTGAAAATGTAGACCCAGTACATCTTTATTTGCTTGCTTTTCATTTCTTGGCAAGACTTATGATTCTTTTAAAAAAGAGCTTACTTACAAGAATGGTTGCAAAATTAACAATTAATTTTCTGTTCAAATGGATATGATGGACACAGTGCAAAATGGCCCACAAATAATGGTGTGGAACTGAGGGTAAATCTGAAATTCCTACGCTTTTTGCTTTTCTTGCTTACTCATAGATGCAATGCTGGGGTGGAACTGCATGAGAAAAAAGAAGACTTGGGCTGGGCGGATTGTAAGAACGATGTTGCAAAGGCCATTGGCCTAAAGTTTGAGGCCAGCTAAGTAGGATCCCACACCTGACTCAGAATGGAGATTGATCATCATGTGTCTTCATCCTTTTTTTCATTGTCTAGTTGTTCAGGGAAGAATTGCAGAGTCCTTTAATGCTGAGTGGGTTTAAGGGCAGCTAGCTGATTGTTGTCCTGAAGGTACGCAGTGCATCAGGAGGCTGCAGGTGGCTCCTGGCCAGAAGGGTGACAAGCGACACTGGAGCAGTGCTCCATGGCCACCAGTTTTAGTAGCACAAGCAGACAAGTTACCTGTCCTTACTAAAGGGTGATAAGGTGGCATGGCACCTGGCACCAGACTCTTCTCACCTCCCACCATGTTCGGCGTTAGGCACAATGTCATGGCAAATTCAAAATAAAAAAGTCCTAACCCACTGTGTGAAAAACTTCCTCCTAACATCTAACCTAAACCTCCCCTGTCTCAGTTTAAGATTTCTTCATACTGTTCTGTTCTATGTTCTTGGCAACTCTGAGAGCAAGAAAGGTTTCTAAGTGACTGAAAACACTGCACACTTACAGCGAAGGATGACTCCTGCAGGATTTTGCCTATGTCCCCAGAGTGTCTGTGCCCCAGCCCATGGGCCAGCAGAGCCCTGCAGTGACAGTGCTGCTGCCCAGGCCCAGGAGGGGCATGCTGCCATCGCAGATGGCCCTTGCTTGCTGCATGCAGCCAATGGACATGCACCACTGAATGGTAGGCTGCCTGGCTGCAGGCTGGCAGAGCAATGGGGCTGGGTACTGCCATGCATCTGAACGGTGCTCCCAAGGACCTCAACAACAGGCTTCAGAGGCAGGCCAGCTATTCACTGCTGTGAGCAGGTACAGCTGTACGTGCATGCTGCTTTTTCTATTCTTATCAGTCTCTTTCATGAGCAGGTGCTGTTGTTGCTTTTCACACTGCTTGCGTAAATCATCTTTTATTTTTCTATATATTTTTTTTTCACCTAATGCAAGGATTGGGCACTTAATTGCTATCATTTTGGACAAACTTTCTCCTTTGCTTATCTGTGGCTTTTCCAGCAACATGGTAGCAAGGAAGTCTCTAGCCACTTGGCAGTACTAGTCACAATGCTCTCCTCTGTTTCCTCATAGCAGAAAGCTGTCTGTGCTGTCACTGGAAGAGACCATATGCTTAGAAATCCTCTGTTGCTTTTGTGCCCCATATAGCATTTCTCTTTCTTCCCTTAGGGAGGAGCAGTCACAAAGAGTCCCCTTACTTTACGTTAAGAAGTGGAAGCATTTACTGCGATAGTAGTGCTGCCCTTCCCAAAAATGCCAAGAGACAAAGAAGTCTGAGCTACTCTAACTATTGAGATTGAAACAGAAGTATAGGAATATCTATCTGTCTTTATTTATTTGTATATACATTTCTCATTCTCATATTATTTTTTTTCCTCTGGTAACCTGATATTCCTTTAAGTCTATTCCTTTGTTGCATTTTGTCTTCACTTCCTGTCAAATTATTTCATCTTATTTAGCTTCACCTGCCAAAATACATGAGCTAATTCTCTCTGTGATGACCTGCCACTGCTTTTTAGTCTCCAGTGACAGGGTGCAGCAACTGCATGCCTGCAAAGCCTGTGCCGTGAAAATCACCTGGGCACCTTTACATTCACATAAGCAGAGAAGACAGGCTCAGACTGAAATGCCTCGACCAGCTTAGCTCTGCTCTCTGGTGCTGCCCAACAGGCAGCCTCTGCTCATGAGCACGGCCCTTTCACAGCTTTCAACCCTGGGCTGCAGGATGATGAGTGGGTCTGAGCCAGTGGACAACACCATTTATTTGAATTCATCCTCACTAATTGTAAAGCGCTCAGTCTCCAGGGAAAGCTACGTAGTGTTACTCCCTGAAAAAAAAATCCATAATTTTTTGTATAATGAGCGTTCTGAAATCATTTCTTACTCTATGAATTGACTGCATACTACCTGAATAAAGGCAGCAGCAAAGGAGTGAACTCCTTATAATATTATGGTGCTTATTTTTGTCATTTGTGTTGCTGTGATTCTGGATGTTACACTTTATCTGACTTTTAACTCTGCATGCAGAGCTATGATAGCCCTGTGCCACCCTGCAGCACAGAAGATCCTTGCTTGGTCAGCCACATGGTTGTCCAGCAAGTCCTCACTTGTGCCTGCGATATCCTTTTAGACCTCATGGGTAAACAGATACCTCTTTCATCTCCCCAGCAGAAGTGAGTGAGTGAGAATTGGTGTTACACAAGACTTTGTGTTGATGCTGTTCAAAGTGGTGAGTTTTATCCTTAATGTTATACTGAGGGAACACATGTGGTGACCAGTGATTGATTATCTTCACAAAGCTCATTTTCACTCAGCAGTGGTGAGTTTCAGAAGGGTGATAATAATGGATATCACTGGCTAAGTTCTCTCTCACACGTTGTCCACTGTCCTGTGGAAATCAAAAAGTGATTAATTCCTCTAACAGCTCTTAGGGTACTTGGAAAACACCAACATCAAGTGGTAGGTACTGCAAATTTCCGTATGGGAATAAAAGTCCATGATAGATCCCCTTTAACAGCAACAGCTGAGGAAAACACATACTGGAAAAATCCCTGTAGGGAAATGAGCTTACTAATGAAAACAAAACCCTCAGCAGAGATCCAGGATATCCACAGACCAGGGATGAACAAGGAAGGCACATCTAACCTGTGAGCTAGAGCTTGCGTGCTTGAAGAAACAGAACTGAAGCTAGAGGCTTTGGAGGGAAGCTTGACTGACCTTGCAGATGCAGGCTATACAGCTTGAATAAGGAAAAAATAGATGGCTTGTGTTATCTTTCAGATTGAGGAAATAGTCCTCTTTGGGAGAATTTAGCCAAGATGCTTCCAAGCATGCACTTTTCTTTAAAAGGAGACAAACATAGGGATTTCCAGGAAGCTGCAGAATGGTGAAGGTAATACCTGAGGATGGTTTGCCAGTGCCAGTTTGTCAGGAGGGTATCAGGACACCTTCCTCTAGGGCAAAATGTCCACTAGAGAAGGATGCAGGGGCAGATGCAGGCGCACCCTCCCATCTAAGGGGGACAAATGAGCATCTTGCTCCTACTGCTAAGTGGCACCAACTGCAGAGGCAACAGTGTGGGGTTAGGGCATGGTTACAGCTCATCTTCTCCTGCTTCCACATAAGAATAGGCAGCTGCTCAACCCCCTGCCCCTGACACACGCCTAAGCCGTCACAGGGTGCATGGTGTCGGTAGGAAATTGGAGTAATGAGGCTCAATGAAGCAGCTTCCCATACAGCCAAGGATGAACTTGTCCCAGCAAGAGTACCCAGATCCACTGGCTCACAGGGGTGGCTGTGTGATGTGCAGATGGTTCAAAGCCATTTGTAGTGAGCTGAAGATTCCTCCCTGTGGGACACACTTGCCCTTTTGAGCACCAAAAACACAGGATGTAGCCAGGGGAGCCACAAAGGCAAAGGATTTTAACATCATCCCTTTTGTTTTCATACAAGCCTGTTTAACGAGAAGCAAGAATAAGCAAGAGGAGGAAAAGCCAACACCTCTTAAAACATTGGAAAGGCTTTGGCTGATGTGGCTCACTTCTACTATAAAATTTGGGTTTCATTTAGCTTTGCTTTCATCAGTGTGTATGCAGGACAACACTCACCTTCACTTTGGGGGCGAGCATAGCACTGTGTCTTCTCATTCTGAAGCAAGTCTTTGGTGTTGAAGGTAAACGTGGTGGCTGGGATCTTTGCAGCCTTTTCCCAGGGGTATATGCAGAAATATATCTGAAAAGATAAACCATTTGTTCCTATTAGGAGTACTTAGGGAGGGGAAAAAAAAAAAAAATCAGTCTTGTTTAAATCTAGCATCATTACTTTTTTCCTTTCTTTTTGCCAGGGATTTTTTTCTCCAGCTGTGTTCACATAAACTGTGCTCCCAAACTTCCAGCCATGATGGAAATAAGAAGAGGGCCTCTGATCTCTCTGAAGTTAGGCCACTGAAGCTTCACTTACTTCAGGGAAGTGATGCTGCTTACTGTAGACTTCACATTTTTTGCAGTGACATGCAAGTCACTTAGTTGAATTTTGTTATAACGGCATATACAGTTTGCAGAACTGTACATGCAGAACCACAAAACCGTTTGAGTTGGAAGAGAACCTTAGAAGTCATCTAGTCCAACTCCCCTGCAACAAACAAGGACATCTGCAGCTCGATCAGGTGGCTCAGAGCCTGGTTCTATATATGTATGCATATATCTTAAGCTTGTAGTCATAATTAGAGAAGCAGTACTGTTCATTGCAGACCCCCACTCTCAGTTGGACAGCTGTGTAGCAGAGTGACCTTGGTAGACAGCAGTGAGGCACTTTGGACATGGGTTTGGACAGGGAGGGGGCTGAGGTGGCACCCTTACAAAGGGGCATTCAAAGCAGGAAATGACAAGTCTAATTAATTCCAGGCTCCCAGGTATTCTGAGAAAGGTTATTGACTGACAGAGAGACAATGTTTGCATAATTACCCAAACATGTAGCCTTTGAATAATAATAACATCGTTATTCTCTGAGATACATTTTATTTTCAGGATTGACCTGATAACAGCAGAAACAAAATACTCAATTTCACAGTTACATCGAAACAAAAATAATTACAGAACATGTACAGAAATTAAAATCTATTACAGGCAATTTGTGCTAGAAACTAAACATCCCCTGAAGGTAGACAATCTCAATCATTTCAGTTTGGTTTGGCTATGGTTGGCTATCTTCTCTGCATCACTAGTTAGGCCTGAGACCTATTCTCTTATGCTAGAGAGCTATAGGTCCTAGACCAGACAAGTCACTGCTAAGCCATGCTAAGCTGCTAGAAGGAAGGATCCTCTTCAGAGGCTCTGGCATTATTTTTCATTCACTATTGAGATCAGTAGAACTTTTGCCAGCAGTCCTGAAAGCATGGAACATACCTCAGTCTGTCCTTTTCTGTACTCCTAACAACCCTATTGGGTTCACCAGCGGAGTTTCTGAAAGCACAAGAGATCATTTGTTCTGATAACATAAATGTGAAGGTAAAACTGGGTACCAGCATGTTGTATCTGAACCTCTTCCTTCACTGGGCAGTGGGAGCACTGTGACAGTGCTATCAGGTGCTGACTGAGTGGCAGCAAGTGGCACCAAGCTGCTCATCAGCTAGCTGGGAAGGGCCTGACAGTGATGTGGAGTGGAAGGGAGAGAGATAGAGAATGCTTGCCTCAAGTGCTGAGCCATCATGGAAGATAACAACAGTAATTTGTGGCTCTGCATAGCGACCTCCTCTGCTACAAGTAGTTCTCAGTGACACTAAAGTGGCTGCAGTTAATAGGCTTTTACCGTTGCCACCTAAGGGAGAATTTGTACATCCTCTCTTCCTATGAACTACTGCAGATGATCCCTCTTCATTCTCATGGCTGAGGGCTGCTGCGCAGTGCCACATACACCATCAGTGCCATCAGACAGGAGGAAGCTGCAGCAGGGCTGCCCGAGCTGAGGTGAGCCATAAATCTGACTCGGAGGTACTGATAATCAGCTGGTAGGGAATAAGGGGCTGAAGAAAGCAGTTAGCAATAAACCCTAACTTTCTTCTTCTCCTCTGCATTTCCCCCCGCTTCACTTCATAGCTTTGCTGCCAAGGTCTGAGCAGCAAAAAAAAATGATGGTACAAGTCTAAAAAGCCATTTTTGGTAATGAATTCTGATACCAAATTCCCAACCCATGCTTTTCCAGGTGGCTTGCTTCTCATCGCATGCACCATAACCTGGAGGTATGCTACAGTTTTTCTTCTGACAGTTTGGCCATTTAAACGAACGGCGTTTTGTACTTTCAAGAATTCAGATCTGCAGTTTCAAAGTGGAATTATGCCAATCACGTAGGCCAGCTGGCTAAGTCCATTGTTAGGAAGTCGTAAATAAGGATGACATGGGGTCACTTAATGGAAAAGCACTGATATTTCATCCAAGGCTTATTGCTGTCCTCTGGTCCAAACTGAAGTGAGCTTATGGTCTCAGCTTGGTTTTAGTGGACAAACCGTCCCTGTCAGTTTCCCTGTTCCTACTATAAAGGATCTATATGCTGCTGAAAGGATACGATGGATTCCAGTCTATGGCCCATACCCAGCAGCTTTCTGACTTCAGTGGCATCCTTTCCACATCTCGAAGGGCACCTCAGAAATCAATTCCGCACAAGTGCAGTGCTCAAGGAGGGAACATTCACAAGACTCCTGCCCTTGCACCTACAGATTTTTTGGATTTGACACAAAGTTAAAGAATTGCCATTGCAGAAGCAAGGGTAGGCTGTAAGGCACTAGGGCTCTGCAGGATGCCCCTGCTGGCCGACTGCTGGGATCCCTGAGCCTGTTCCACCGAGAGCAGTGCCAAAAACACCTCAGTTCTTCCCACATGACCTCACATGAGAGCTCGCCAGGAGCTGCTCCTGGAACGCTTACAAGCAGTTATTAAGCAACACCTGATCATTGCACATCAATGTACTGCAGGTAACATGGAGTACAGCTGACACAGCTGACAGAGCCCAGGATTCCAGACAGCACACACAAAATAAACTCAACAGGCTGCTGCTAGAAGGAGACAGACTGCGTGGGGACCCACATTCCTACAGGCACAACTTTTCCTTTTGCTGTCCTTATCAAGTGGCTGAAAATACCCACTAACCCTGAGAACAAACGCATCATTTTAAAGCAGAGTAGGCCTGTAAGACTTTTTAACACTTGTTCGTTGATTATATTAATGCCAGAATATATTAAAGGAGTGCAATATAAATTTGATTTTGATTGTTTTGTACACACGCCAGTGAAAAGGAACTGATTGGATACAGTTCATAGGCAGTATGTTAATACGCTATTTTCTTATGATGATAGCTTTGCATAATCTTTCTTTTTCCAAGATTTAGAAGAACCTGTTGTTAACCAAAGCACAGGAGAGAGGAAGAATACAATTTACATAAAATCGGCTACCCTACACATTAATTAGTAATGTGGCTGAGCGGAAGGTGTGTTCACTTAGTAGAAAGTACACTTTATAATTTATACACCAGCTGTTTCAGTGCTTTCTAGTCCATTTTCCTCCCTGCCTGCCTCTAATGAAATCGTGTTACTGGAGAATTGACTGGGGTGAATTGAGATTTTAATCCCATTGACGCTTCTCTATGGAAAGGCACGCTGGTGGGAACTTTTAATGGAAGGTCTGTAATCAGAAGACACTTGCATTCAGTCCCCCACTATAATGACTCTCATCAAATGTTAAAGCCCAGGCAGTGTGCAGAAGGCTAGAATTTCAAGGTTTTTGACCAACCCCATTTGAGGCATTCCTCTGGGAGTGTGTGATTACTCAAGTTTAGCAGTTTATTGCCTCATCTTTCAATATCCAGTGAAGCACAAAATTCTCATCTAGGTTGCTCTTTTTACTTAAAGAACAGGCCAAAATAGACTGCAGAGCTACTAGCACTGTCATTGAGGTTAATTCTTGCTTCTCAGTTAACAGGAGATCAATGGAAAAGCTTTAAAATATTAGAACACAAATGCTGCTCAGTCTCTAAGTGTTCCGCAGCCTTTGTAAAAATGCAAGCTCACACCACGCTTCTCCAATGCACAACTCACATTTATTTATCACTAAGTGTTGCTTTAAGGCGAGGACTAACATTAATTGAGAGGTGGTGCTGTTCTGCAAAGAGGGATGTAAACATGTATTAAAATCCAGCAGAGCGAACAGTTTTCCTATTCCCCAAACTTTACAGTCAAGAAAAGTACAGTCATTAAAAGAGAGGTGGTCAAAAAAGCAAGCTGAATTGGGAGTTAATGGGACTCATTATGTCAGCTGCATGTTAGTAATGTCTCCTTCTCCACCAGAAAAACAAGCAGAAATAGACACAGAAAAGCAAAACCCACTTAAACAAATGCCTGTTAAAATCCCTGTGAGGAGAATGCATTTGCTCTGAACAGCCACAAACACATCAATTAATACAGTGGAAGCCACTTAAACAAATACATGTTAAAAAAGTAAACTGGAAAAATGAAGGAACTTCTGACAAAAGATGTCAAATGCTGTTAAAAGGAATAAATCCATTTAAAAGACAACAAATTTTTCAAATGCAGCGAGTCAAAATAGAAGGGATAATAATAGGAAGAATGCCTTTAAAGAATTAATGTTAAATTAAAAAGTCTTTCCCTTTCTTCTCCTTCTCCCTCCTTCCAAAAAAAGGAATAAAGATGAGGGCTTCTTTAATAAGCATTTCTCTGGCAACTTAATGAATACGTTTGAATGACTTTCCCCATTCCCTGTTCCTTTCTTATTGAATCGGTCAGACAAAGGTCTAATTTGGGAGTGTTTTTACTTAAAGGAGTTCTTTATTTCTGACACTTCTTTCGGGCCAGCATGAGTTCAAGATTTTCCCCTCTTCATGCAATTCACTCCCTCTGCTCCTTTTCTTATTTTACTTATTTCAATAAGTGCTAGGATCCACTTGTTATTAGAGGGTACTCTTTCATGGCTTCCAGTCTGAATAGGCACTTCCATTCTCATGCATTTCCCTGCAGAATTCATTGCAATTATTGTATATGCACCATAATTCATGCAGGAATGAGTATAATGCAGCTTTTCACTGAACTATCAGCGTGAATTTTTCATGGCTTATTTAATGGCGATATTTGTGTATACATTTTTCTCTGTGCCCTAGCAACTTTCAGGAGGTCTTCCTGAGCCTTCCCCAACTCAGCTGTGGTGGGATTGTTTGAGAACTGCGAGTCT